AAGGATGAAAGGGTAGGATAGGAATGGAGAGAGGAGGGGTTAATGTAATAAAAACTCAATAATCAGTATTGAGCTTTCGATTTTCCATAGCCTTTGTGACTTCATCTTTTAAGATTTTATAAGATAAGATAAGATAAGATAAGGTAAGGTAAGATATGATGAGATAGGATACGAAAAATCTTTATTGTCCAGATCCTGGTGTTTCACAACGTGTCTCTGTAGTTACAGAATGTCTTTTCTCCTTCGTTAATCACTTCATTCTTAAGAAAAGTAAAGTTGCACCCACATCCCATCTCGACATTTGGGATTGCCTTGTTAGTGAAACAACTTCCTGTGCCTTCGGCATATTGTGGTAGGGTGGCCAGTTCCTTTCCACGCTTCCTTTACTTCCTCAACTCAAAGTCAGGTAGATCTACCCATTACTGCAAGGTGGGCAGGAGCGGGCGAAAAAAATTCGTGTCCGAACCAAGGCTCGAACCCGGACTTTCCGCTTCGGAGACGAGCGCACTAACCGCTTCGCCACCGCACCCTCTTCATTCCTAATCTACTCTTAAATCTCGTAAAATTTTATTTTTTTTCATATTCCCAAGAAAACATAGAATTGATTGGAAATAGAATTCGGAGATCCTGCCTCTTAAATAACTCAACAGTGTTGACTGGGGTGTTAAACCACTACCTAGAGGTTAAGGTGTTCGCCTTCTATTCAATAGGTTCCGTGTTCGAATCCGGATACCAAAGGAATTTTTTCTTCTCTAAAATTGTCTCCTTTTTCCTTCTTCCCTGCTCGCTAGCAATATGCTGTCGTCTGCTTTCGCCTCTACTTTCTGCCCCCACCCCCTCACCTCCGTTGCCCCCTCCTCTGGGCTCCTGAATTTTTCTGCAGCTTTTTTACTGTTATTCCCTGGCTTCTTCTTATTGCTGTCTTTCAGCCACACCCTGATATTGTGGTAGAAAAGATCTACACCTAGCCTTCTCGGACAAGGGTGAACATTTTCGGAGGTCCTTTGTGCAAGTTGCTCACGTTTAAGATCCCTTGCTGGTCCAAAATAGACAAGAGTAGGCTTCGGCTGCCACCTGGACAAAGTTCAAAATTTCCTACCCACTGAAAATGTTTAATGTGTCTCGTGCGCTCATATGGCATTATGCAGTTGCGAACGCCGTAAAACACTTACAAAAACAAACAAACAAACTAACTAACTAACTAACTAACCTATACAATGTCTCGTATTTTGCCCCCCCCCCCCCAAAAAAAAAAGGCCAGAGTGGACCGAGTAACCCAGGTTTGTGCACGTATCTCTCTTTCCACTCTCCTTTTCTTAAGAGTAGATTTGCAACTGATTGACTGCAGAGAGCAAGAACTCATACGGCCACGCACTTCGATAAGGGAAGCGTGAAAATACAATGTTTGTTTTTTTAAAGCAGTTATACAGGTGGGAAGAAAACAATTGATTTCTAGACTTGCCCATGCTCCTGTAATTGCTG